TTTAATGACGCAACCAATGCAGTACGTAGTAGTTTTATAGCATATTAGATCACATAAGAATCTATGCAATGTTCCACTCACTATATGCATCTACTTTAATTCCTACTGTAATATATGATTTGATTGGTTGATGAAATAAATAAATATAAATGCTGTGGAATGCCTTATTACTGTAATAGAAGCTGGAGTTTTTATTCAAATGGTAGAATGTAACAGAATGGATGCGACTTCATTTAAAAGATCTACACACAGGAGAAATGGTGAATGTCTGGCTCTCAATTGTTCTCAAAAGTGGGTGCAGCTTCTATTAGGAATGCAATTTTTACGGTAATCCCAAGACACAGTATTATATTTCTCAAGGCATCCATCTATGTGAATAAATCTGAATAGATAATGAGATTTTACGAGCACTGTAGTTAGGCATTAGTGGATTCACATACAGTGAGTAGGACATCACAGATTCTATACTACTGTGGAATACTTTATTTTCGCTGGAATTAATTTTTGTTTAAAAGGCTTTTTGGGCATTTTGTATGGAATTTATTTTCACTGATTTTTGATGAGTTTAATGTGAAATATAGGAAAAAAAGTATATTCGCTGGATTTTATTTTCACGGAATCATCCCTTCAGCGAAAATAGCGAAAATAAATTCCAAGCGAAAATAAAGTATTCTACAGTATATATCAGGCAACTATAAATACAATTAAACGTTTAAAGCCAAGGGATTGCACCAAAGAATCATGGGATACTATTGTTTATGTTGTTTACAAAGTTAATTTTAATCCAGAAGGTAAATTTGTTGTGAGATTAGGCTTAACTGGAAGTGCCCCTTTAACAACTTTTTTTTTTTTGCGACCTCCTGTTTTTTAATTTCTTTAATAGCTTTGAGTGCTAAAGTCACATTTTCCAAAATATATATTAAACAGCTTTTAGAATATTTTCAGAATATTTTTGGAAATAGATTGCGATTCAGAAATCTTGTATTCAACTTTTGTATACTTTTACAAAATGAAACCAACATATGATAATTTTTGCCATATTTCTTTGAAAATTTTGATGTAGTCAAGATGTCCATTTGGCCCAAAATTAAACAAAAAAATTATAGAGAAATAAATAATGATAGACAAAATGTTGACAAGAAACAATAATGGCGTCCAAAGAGTTGATATTGGATTTTGAAAAAAAAGTTATACCATTCACCATATATTTCCCAACATTTGCAAAACTTGCATTAAATCTCATTAGCTGTGTAAGAGTAAAATACAATAGGTATAATTTTCAAGTCAGACAACATATAGTATGGCACCATCCTAGTAACCAGTATGATAACATAGGAAGGAATAATATGATCCATATAATCTATATGCAAAAACAGGAAATGACATCATTTGAACCAGCATGCCACACAGGAAGTGACTTCAGAATTGTCATTAAGTTATTCCACATTCTCTACTCCAATGCATGTTTGTCTAATTATTTTCACTAGACTTCTCTGTAGAGAAAAAAAATATAAATATATAGAAAAATTGTTATGGTAACATAATAACTCAAATGGCAGCTACACACATTGTATGATTGCATTCAGTGTTGTAGTGGGTTTTTTTGCAGAAAGGTGCTACTATTCAGTTTTGATTTTAATGAAAATTGATTCCAAATAAAAACAGTTGGGTTTATATACACAAAATTGTTGATTCCAATTTATCAAAATCACCTTTTTATTTATCCATATGTTTCAAATTTTACTCTTAGCCCTGCAACCTATTGACATTACAAGCCCCAAATCCTGGAGTTTTATATTTTAAATTCTAGATCTAATCAAGAAATTTGTAAATTAGAATTATCTCTGCAACCAAAAAAATTATCCATCAACATAATTTTAAGGAAATTATTTGATCCATGCATGTTACCCAGCCCTCCCAAAAGAAAATAAGTTTTGTTAATGAACAATCAAAACAATTAAAATGTCTAATTACAAAATAACATTATGACAAAAAACTACTTACGAAGCTGTTGTTGTTGCAGTGAGAATAAGATTTTTACGCAGCCGTACAATATCAGCGTGCGTTAATTTTCTCCGATGACCTGACTCTGCTTCTTCAACTCGAATAGATTTGATTCCATCTTTCATGTCTTCTTCTTCAAACACAAAATTCCAAGGAGTTGTACAATTCTTAGAGTTTGGCAGTGTTTTATTTTTGTAAATCTCCTTGCAAGGAGAACTCTTTGAGATGTCTCTTACACTTTTACTTTTACTAGTCACAGTGTTTTCAACTTTTTCCAGGATGGAAGTCTCGGAGACACATTCGCGTACAGTTATTGAAGGAGATACAAACTCCTTTTTTTCAGATTCTGCATTTACAGATTCCATACTCTTTGTTCGGCTCACATAGTAGTCAGTTTCAGGATCTACAGTAGAGATGTCAATCATTGACGTTGCTTTGTGTTCAATAATCCTGGGAACAGGTATAATTGTTGTATCAGAATTCTGTCTTGTATGACATTCTCTTTGAACCTCTTCCATGGATGAACTTGGACCCCAAGACATTCTTTTCTTGACCTTTGACTTACAATTCTTCATTCCTACAACATTCTGAGTTGATTTATCAGAAACTGATCGTCCTAATTTATTCGAAATGTTCAACATATTGGGCAGAACATTGCGTCCTCGTACAGATTCACGAGGACTGCTTTCCTCACTGGAGGAAACACACATATCCGTTGATAGGGGCAGTGCTGTCGCTTTCATAGGAGTTCGTGATTTGTTTCTTTGAAGTGTCTCATTTGATGATTTTTTGGGTGTCAGAGAATATGCAGCGGCTTCATGACCTTGACTTTCAGCGGCTTCATGACCTTGACTTTCTTCTATCAAATTAACAGGAGATATTGATGATACTGAGAATGAATCTGAACATGCAGATGAAGCGCTACTTCTTCTTTGAGATGTTGGTTTATGTTGCGGTGTTGTTTTATTTATTTTATCTTCATCATTCTCATCTTTAATAAAATTACATCTGTGTCGAATTTCCCTGTATAATTGCTGGTGAGAAAAAATGATACTCAGTGTTAACATGTTGGGTTAAATTTATGTATAGTCTAGACAGGAGTTGGGGAATTACAAAAATTTGACATGTGTCAGGTTTTTTTTTAATTAACCTGTTTTATTTTCCATTATAAAATACATATACAGCACAAGTGAAAATAAAAAAGACTGTACCTAGGATGATAATACAATAGTGTACTCTTATTAAACAAACTCTGCACTGTTTTTAGAATTATTACATTTAAATATTACAAAATCAATGGCTTAGAATGATTTGCAATTAAACTTGTGGAAAAAAAATATGCAATATACACTACTAGAGTTACTGTACCATTTCCATTAATTACTCAATAAGCTCTGCCAATTTACACCATTTTTTATTAAAAATTACCTTACTATTTCTGGCCAAATATTTTTCTATTTCCAAACAAAATTTAAGATACCCACAAAAACCAGATAAGAGAGGCAATTTACTTTTTTGCTTACATTACAGTAGCATGTACATAACAAGATCTAGCATTTGCATTGTTTTCCAAAATTCCCAATATTGTCAATAAACTAACAAGACTTGACATATGCCAAGATATAATTAGAGACATAGGCATGATATGTGTCAGGATAAATTGCAAAGATCTGACATGTGTCAGAATAAACCACTATTTTCATATTTATAATACTGCTGCTAGTCTAACAATGCCTACATACCATTCCTATCTTTCATACAGCATTTAGACTTGTAAAATGAAACAAACAAAAATTGATTCTCTCGTGAATTTAGAAAATAATGGCACAGTGATAATGGCACAATTTCTGTGGCAAGACATGATCTGACGAATAAAATGAAGGTGTGTTTCTTTAACAATTATGGTGCAGTATATTATTTACTAAGAGAAATCTGATACAGAGATATTTTTAATCATTAAATTTGATGTCCACTCAGTAAATATTGACAGCAGGTCATTAAATCACAAATGTCAGATATATTCAATGACTATTATTTATTATTTTGCAAATATTTGATAAAATAGTAAATGTACATCATATTCAAATTGTATTATCATGTCTGAAATGAGCATATGTCTGAAAACAAATATCACATTCTCGGCACAATGAATTCCAAAGAAAAGCACAGTAATATGTAAATTATATTGATAATTTAACATTTATTGCTATTGAAATACAGATAGAATGCAACATTTGAAATCTTAAAGATTTAGGCGAGGGTTCTCCGAACCCGCCTATTCACATAGTTCATACCCACCATAGACTCCGGTCAGTCAAAATGACTATTTTGAACTGTAGGCATTAATCAGCAATTCTGCCAGTGACGGAGAGATAGAATCCAGGTCAGGGGAAGCCCCATGACCTCAAGATTCTTTTACCCCTTACGTCACGAACCCACGTGACCGAGGCCACCTGGCAGTGCCACAGGTAGCCGTCCATCACTCTGGTTCCTTTCTCTCCACTTTGCGGACTTAGACCAACGCGACGGAAAGAGTGCGGAGGTCGGGGGGTTGGACCCAGAGTCTATGGTGGGTATGAACTATGTTAATAGGCGAGTTCGGAGAATCCTCGCCTAAATTCACTACGTTCAATTACCCACCATAGACTCCGGTCAGTCAAAATGACTATTTTGAACTGTAGGCAAGGTAAGACACCGATAGGTGGCGGGTTTTTCCGAGTCTTTTCCCAGTCCAGGATGAAAACAAACTCAACACCCTAGTTAAGACTCCCAAAAAAAAATGGGTTGTGTCTTACCTTGCCTGTGCTGGCCCTGAGCAAGAAGCCAAAATGCTGCTACGGTGACAGGGTTCGGTGTGCCCAAGAAAGCTAGACCCTAACCCAATACTGGGGGTAGTAAGCTTTCAAAGTAAAGACCGAAACAGTTCTGCATGAGGGCATAGGCCGTAAAGCGAGACCTGGGAGCTTCCAGGGGAGTGCTGATGGTAAAGAAATTTGTATGCATAAAATGCCGGACTGACTTATTGCCTATGCGCAGGGAGGGACCCTAGCGATCGTTCGGGCTGGGTCAGCAAACCAAGACTGACCTGCTACGACGGGACCCAACCTAGAGAGACTCTTTTCAATGGATTCGGTGTGTCGTAGGTGGTAGTTGATAAAGACGTTCTGCGTTCTACAGAAGCCTGCCCTCCATGTGTGCTGGGGGGGGGGGCCTGACGCTAGCACTAGCGAGTTAGCAATCGCACAGACCTCATGCGCTTGTACTTGGTGTCTCTGCAAGGACTGTGTCAAGGAAGTTAAAGTATTATAGACCTCTAATACAGTCGCAGTGAACCACCTGGTTATGGAAGATGGGGAGGCCGGCATATCCTGCCTGCCTGGGCCATAACACAAAGATATGTGCCTGGCACCCCGTTCCAAATCCTTAGTACGGTTTGGTGGCAACTCCGTGCTCAAACTGGGTAGAGAAGCAATTCCTCCTGACCCTTCGGGCAGACAAAATTTGACCGCCGGGGGATGACGATCGGGTGAGGATCGTGTCCTGGGATTTGGTTCTAGGCGAGAAACTTGATTCGTGTCTTTAGCACAACTTGATTGTCCATAACGGCGGTACATCATCCGAGAAGGACAATGCCCCCAGCTCTGGCTGACGCCTACCTGAGGCAAGGGTCAGTAGAAAGACTATTTTCCACGTCAAAATCTTGAGTGGTGCTGATCTGAGAGCATCCAAGGGCGGTCTGCCAAGAGCGGACAACACAGCCGACAAGTCCCAGTTGGGCGGTTCCCTTGTATGGGGTCTCAGCGTCTGGAAAGCAGTAGATAGTCTCCTAATAATAGGACAATCGGTTAGTCTTGTTCCCGTACATTTGAATGGTGGTGGGACAAGACCGACCTGTAGCCAACGATCACTGCGTAGGACAAACCCACTTCGTCAAACAGGTGGACGAAGGAGCCTGCTACCTGGCCAATAGAGGGATGGTATTGATCAATCTCCCTTCCGCTACACTAACCAGTGTATGCTCGCAGCCTAGAAATGTAGGCTGCATTGGTGGAATCCCTGTTCGCCCTGGCCAGGACGTTGGCAGCCCACTCAGATAAAGCTTTCGTATGTGCGGGTCTAATGAGAGCCTCTATGCGTGTAAGTGATACCCGCTGGGCTCGTTGGTAGTGCGCAATCTGGTTGGGACGGCAGGTCCGGTAAGTCCGGAAGCACTGCTGGTGTTTCGACTATCGTTTCTGACAAAAGTGGAAACTAGGCCCTGCTTGGCCAATTGGGTGCGACCAATGATAATATGCATGTGTGCACCTGTCAAAGTTTTTGTCGGTGCCTGGTGAACTAGCAGGAAGGGAGAAAAGGCGTACACAACTAAGTGGGCCCAGGCTCCTGGAGTCAGCAGGAGTGCTACGTACGGCGGGAGCTTGGTGTTCCGGGGTGCGGCAAACCGGTCTAACCTTGGACCGTCCACAGCCGAAACAGCCTGGAGGCTACCCACTGGGGTATCAGCCACTCCGTGTTCTGGAGACGGAGTCGCCCTGAAAGGGCGTCGCCAGACTGTTCCTCACCCCTGGAAGGTGGTGTGCGGTTAGCTCCACATATTCCAGGCACCAAAGGAGGATTTTGCTTCGCTAGGACTGACAGCGATGGGGAATGCGCCCTCCCCTCCTTCTTAAAGGAGACCACTGCTACGTTGCCTGTGCGGAGCAGGACTCTGTGGTCTCGAACTATGGGTAGAAAGAGTGGTAGTGCTAAGTACACTGCTCTCAGTTCGAGCCGGTTGATATGGTAGTCCCGAAACAAATGCAGGAGCCATATCCTTGGGCTTGTTTGTCCAATAGATGCGCTCCCCCAACCCTGGGGGGAGGCATCTGTTATCAGAGTCATACTTGCGGTGAGTGGGTCCATGGGGGCCCCTCTGCCCGAGGTTGGCCAGTGACGACTACTAGAGCAGGGCTTCCTTCACTTGGTCCGAGATCGAAACCCGCCTATCTAGTTGCCATAGAAGAGCTCGGCGTTATAACAAGTGTTATACCAGGCGGCTGCGTAGCGCTGCCTGGGGAACAACCCTTTGAACAGAGGTCATCATTTCGATGATCCGCATTAGTTCACGGAGGGACACTGAGGGAACACTGACTAGGCATTCGACTAGGCTGCTTAGCGCTAAGCAACACGCTTGAAATAGCTAAGCCAAGCTTACCTGTGTCAAAACTCCATGCCCAGGGACACCAACTGCGCGTTGGGTCGAGGTGGGACTTGTCGATTTACTCACAAGCCCAACTGGTGAAGTAAA